CAAGTCATGACTATCCTAACAGCTCTCAGCAGAAGTCCATCCTTTCGCAGTTCGCACTCTTCCTACTCTCATTCTCCTACTTTTAAACATTTAATGGATTTTCCTAGGAAACTCAATCTTCTAATATTGTTTGCCATATGATGTCCTCCATAATATTCCTAAGCCTCATTAATTCTTTACTTCCCAATGCTTTCATAATATTTTATTCATAGCACTTATATACTGAATATAATTAATTACATACTGTGTATCATCCCTGCTAGACTGTGAATTCATTGAAGACAAGGACTGCATCTTGTTCATTTTATGTCACCCAATCTAATAATGCTTTATCAAAGCAAAAACCAAAACCAAACATGAACATCCATCAACAACAAAAATCTAGGCATTTTCATCACTAATTGCAAAGTTTGAGTCGTAACACAATGGATCCTTATGCACAAGCAATGAAAATCAGAGTACACTTGGATAAGGCAGTGTCATTTCCTATAGAAGCACATACCATAAAAAATGGGGCAAAAATATAACATGACCAGAATTCATGTACATAAAATCATAAAGCTTGACTTGGGGACCTGAATAAATGGGGAGAAGTAGCATGTCTTAATATAGAAAGCTTACATTTGAAAAGATGTTAATTCTTTAAAAATTAATTTATAAATTCAATGCATATCCGGTCATAACTATAGCAGGATTTTTAAGTCGACTTTGTCAAATTGATTCTAAATTTATGTTGAGAAAATATGTAAGGTTTTGAACAAAAATTTTATAAATACTTTTTCAACCATAACACACTATAAAGCTAAATAAACTAATTAGAATACAACAGGAGCTCACAAAAGAACAAAGGACCAATTAAACAGAAATCAATTCCCTAAAATATGACTTTTATTAAGATAAACATAACATTTCAAATGTATGTATAAGGAACTCCTTTTAAATCAGATGGAAATAATTGGTTAAAAATGTATTAAAATGAGGGGTTCCTGGTGGCTCAGTCAGTTAAGAATCTGACTCTTGATTTTGGCTCAAGTCATGATCTCAGGGTCATGAGATTGAGCCCTATGTCAAGCTCTGAGCTCAACAGAGGGGAGTCTGCTTGAGATCCTCTCTCTTTCCCTCTGTCACTCCCTCCTATTCTCTATTTCATAAAAATAATTAAATCTTTTAAAAAATATATTAATGTGAAAGAAAATTAGACCCCCAACTCCATTCTGTGCACAAAAACTAATTAGAGGAGGAAGGGCTGAGTAGATAGATGTAAAAGCAAAATAGCATTTTAAAAAACAGAGTATTTTCAAAATCTTCAGATAAGAGAAATTCTTCTAAATGAGACAGAACCAGAGAACTAGGAAGTTATAAAAGGGATGACTAGACATATAAAATAAGTGCTTTTGAATGATGAAATACATCACAAAGTAAAAAAAAAAAAATTGACAGTGTCAAGAGAAAATACTGTAAAATTGTACATTACAAAAAGAATTAATAACTTAATACATATAAAATATATAAGAAAATATACTAGGAAAAATATCTTACCCTTTTTCTGTTAGGTTTTTAATCCTTTTTTAAAAATCAGGTAATAATTCACAGAAGAAAAAATACAAATAGCAAATGTGTATGACAAAGACGAACAAGCTAATTTAACTAGTACGGTAGCAACTTACATTTGCTACCAGGCTATCAAAAACTTAAAAGATATATATGATTCATCATCATGGAGGGTTTGAGGAGATCAGACCCTCTCACACAAGGTTGATGGAGGGCTAAAATGGTAAAGCTTTTGGAAAACAATTTGTAATATTTATCAAAAATTTTATACCTTGTGAACCCAAAATTCCACTTGCAGGTATCTATCCTATCAAAATATACATAGGCACAACAAAGACTACTCAAGGGTACTCATGGTAGTCTTACTTATAATAATGAAAAATTAGAAACAATGGAATAAAGCTCCCCAGTCTAATTTATAGAAATGAGTCTGAGAAGAGAATACATTTCTGTAAAATTAAAAAAAAAAAAATCAAACTCTATGGAAATGTAAAGAAAAAATGGCTGGATTGATACACATAAAATATTGACAATTTTATTTGTGAGGAGGATAAACATGATGGGAAGGCATAGAAGAGAGTAAAAGAAATTTTTCACATTGTATTGCTCTTTTGTTTTATTCTTTTACAATTAGAACTAATTCATGTGGCTTTTATGTATTTAAAAAACAACTCCAATAAGAGTACCCAAGAATATGTTGACTTAACTGTACAAAAAATGGTAGGCATGAAAGTTTATAGTTTGAATAATTAGTAATTATCACCAATTCATGCAACAAATAAATACTGACAGAGTTTTGCACTAAAGACTAAATGTGAGAGTAGTAATACAAGGATGAGACAAAGCCCTATCTTCAAAGTTACCAAAAAATCATCAGGGATGCAGAAAGGGAATGAACTACAAGGTGACAATTGCCAATTGCTACAATTCAGACACACAGGATGTTATCTTATCCTTACTGGAGAAGACAGATTTCAGGCATGGGAGTGCAAGTGAAATTTTTTTTTTTTTTCTTTAGTGAATAGTAATACTCCCAACATATAAGAGGGAATGCAAGTGGGAAGGAATTCACATAATGGGCAAAGTCACTCTGACTTGAGGTCATGGGCTCTGCTGTGCCATTGTTGGCTGTTGAGTCTCACCTCTGCCCCTCACTTAAAAGTTGTGCAACCTTAAGCTAAGTGACTTAACTCCCCTTAATCTCTATGTCTCAGCTATAACATGGCTAATGTAACCATCCATTCTGAGGGTTTACTGAGAAAACTGCACAAGGCCATTCATAAGAGCCTCAGTAGAATACCTAGAACATAAGTTTTAATAAATATTTGCTTTTCTTCTACTTGCTATCTTTAAAGAAGCCAAGAAGAGCATGCTATGCTTCGGAAACTGAAAGGCTGATACAGACTAGTAGCAAAACTATGAAACTTTTCTAGGAAACAGTGACCCATGATAACCCTCACTTCCAAGTTAGGGCCAGGCATGTGCCTATAGAAATCTGATTTTTGTATTTAGTCACTTGCATACCAATGGGACAACTATCTCATTATCAGTAAAACAAATTTTAATACATATTCAACGAGATTTGCATTATTTTCCTGGTGAATTGTATAAATGATAATTAAATTATTTACTTCAAGTATGTAAGGCTTCCAAAACTGGAATTGAAAGCAATGTTTTGTCTTAGTTAAAAAGGAATTTAATTTTTGAAAAAAAAATAATTCATTCACCGGAAATAAATAAAATATTCCATTAAAAACTAATGTAATGCAGATGAGTCAAAGATCCTTTTCTTTCAATTTTCATCTGCCCTCCAACTTTAGGACATTTACTACTTATATGCTTTCTCATCACTGTTTCAAATCCGTAAGAATTCACATGAATATATGTATGTATTCATTATATATATGCAGTAATATTATATATTACTTATTAACATTATAACAAGTATTAGTAACATTAGGAATAAGTATTTGTTATTCATTTAGTAACATAATATACATATACATATATATATCAGCAGTAACAGTAATTTAATTAAAATAATTAATTTAATTATTATGATTAAAGAACCAGGCAATATAGAAAAACTGACAGGATTTGAAATGGTAGTTTTTTTTGTGTGTGTGTGTGTATGTATATATATATAATATATATCTACACTAATAATATTTATTATAATGAAAGAGTCAACAGCGTTGGGCTCTGTAGCCAGAATACCTGGACAAAGCCCTGGTCCTGTCAGTTACTACCTGTGTAAATTTAGGCATGATGCTTGACCTCTCTGAGCCTCAGTTCCCTTACCTATGATATGGGAATAATAATAACAATAATAATAATAATAAATCCACATATCTCAAAGGTTGTTGCCAGAATTAAATGAATAGCTACATATTCAACAGTTAGAACAGTGTCTGGGCCCTTAAGAGTGTTTATGTAGTGGATGGTAAGAGGTCTCTTCTAGTCCTCAAACCTTCACTTGTGGTGCTATCAACATAATTCTCTCTTTTTCCTGCTTCTCTTTCAATGCAATGTTACATTTAAGTACACTGTCTTACTGGCTTTCTGTCCTTTTTAAACTTCTATGTCAAAGTAATCTTCAGGTCATACTGAATACTTAGAGTTTTCATGTCTTATTATAGAATCAAAGCTACATCTTAATCATTACTCCATATATTGCTATCTTGGTGGGCCTTCTTCTAGCAATATTATTTCTAATTTTCTGCCCAATAACAATGGATTATTAAAATTAAAACTGTACTTGGATGTGGAACAATTCAAAATACTAAAAAGACTGAGTTTATTTTACTGTTTAATCTCAACATTGACTAAATAGCTTGAGTTTATAATCAATATTATTTTAAAGAAATAACTGTTTCAACGACTATTCCAAGGAATAACTCATATTAGCATTGTAAGTCTAATGATGAAAATAATATAAATATTACCATAACAAGTACAACTAGAGGCTTCTGCTGTAAGATTGATATACATTTTGTCCAGAACAGCTTTACTCCGTGGAATATTTATTTCTGTCTTGCAGCACAAGCTTCTCATAATGAATCACATTCAAAAAACATTAAAAAAAGATATACGAGTATATGTTGGGAAAAAAAATTGCTGTTGCTTGAAGGTATTTTCCATCAAAAATTAAATATAGCACAATGGTCATTTTGTAGAGTTCATTAATGAAATTGGGAAGGCATTATTAATCTCCAGTGTTAAATTGCACTTACAGTGAAAATTGATCAAGCTTCTCCTGATTCAGAAATACCCCATGGCTACTATTGATCAAGTGTTTGGGACAGTGATTATAATTCATATCCAAACACCAAAAAAAATGAGATAGAAATTGTTCTTAAAAGGTTTCTTATCCAAACATGTAATATTTAGCTTAATAGAGGAAGCCTTACGGACACAGTTTTCTTGTGAGGATCTACCGGAAAACATACCTGGCCAGGCTGAAGGCATCGTCAATCAAACCTGCTCTGTTACTGACAGAGAGAACCTATGAGATCAGAAAGAAAGAAAGAAAAAGAAAGAAAGAAAGAAAGAAAGAAAGAAAGAAAAGGAAAGAAAAGAAAGAAAAAAAGAATCAGGATTAAAATGGCAGGTGTTGACCTCTTGAAACAGATGTTTGATGAGTAAATCCAGTTTACCTCATGGTTCCTGATTAATTGATCAATTAATAATCGCCAATTCCTTAAATCATAGTTGACTCTAAAATAGCCAGTTTGATTGATATTCCCCAGCAACCAGCTTCCTTTGTCCAAAGTTATTCTGTGGTGCTCTGCAAACAACATTTTTGGGGGTAAAACAGATTTTAAATTTATGGGTTAAAATTATATGAAGTATATTTTCTAAATAATGGATATTAGAGTACCAATAATAAAAAGAGAACACCATCATAAATACCTAATTGAAATTTAATCTTTAATCAATTCATCACTATATCTAGAATTCACAAGAAAACCTTCAGTTGCTTACTCTATTACCTCAGTTGTTTTCTTATAATTAACATTTTTTTCTTGATAAAACCTCATTACCTATACACAATGTTCTTCTCAAGATAAATGTCACCAAGAAATTGCCTATATTCATGTGACTTCTAGTTAGATTGTATTTAAATATGGGGCTAGAATAGAAGAAAAGGTTTTAGATGCATATTCTACTTATTTTATTCAGTAAGAAAGTGATTAAAACAACAGGACTCATTTATTTTAAAGTCACTATTGTTTCTTGCCTTTTTTCTTGTGCTTTTTTGGAAGTACTAATAAATAACAGTCTTTCCAGCATCATCAATAATGTTGGAAAAAGGAAACTCATTTATTTAAGACTCTAATATTTCCACATATAATTAGAACAAAGATAATAAATTCTGTTTATTGGAATCACTTTGGAAAATGGTAACTTGATTATATTCCCCAGCTAATTCAATTAAAGGAAGCCAGTAAAAGCAATCTTACAACTTATATATTTAACTCCTTCAAAATACGGTACAGATGGAGAACTCCATTCACTTTAATGTCAGCCTCTGTTGACTTCACAGAACCATAGCTTACAATTCTAATCATTTGTGGATGTCCTCAGGACCCATGGTTCACAGAAGTTACAAAATGTATTGTTTACTTAAAATTTATATTTTACATACACACAGACACACACACACACACACACAGAGCCCACACACACCAGTCTACCAATTTCCACAATGATTCAAAACCAGAAGATGCATCACAGAAAACATTTGTATCAGCTCTGATTGGGACACACAACCTCCAATTCTCACCTTATTATCCAGGTTTTTTGCACATCAGGCTACAAAACAAGTTTTCTTTTCCTCTGTCTTTCTGAAACACTGAATCTACATTCTCTTTCAAGTAGAAGCCACACAGGAAGAAGGTGTGACCACAAAAATTGAGTGAACATTAATGACTATTAATTGCTGAAATGGGGTGAGCTCTGAAATGGGGTGAACTTCTTAAGCTAATGCCTGTTACATTTTGCCAATTTTTATAAATGTACAGTAAAATAAAAAATGCACGTTGAACATAAAAAATCTAATCTTTTTTTTTTTAATCTAATCTTTAATGTTTCAAATAGCACATCAGTTTTTTGCCACTTTTATAAATAATATCTGTTGGAACAGATAAAGAAACAAGGCTCAGACAGGTTAATTGAATTGTCCAAGAAAGCTAGGGTGGTCCGTCTCAGGTCTCCTGACTTGGGTGTCCTTTTCACTACAATTACACTCTTATTGATACAAGATGGTATAGCACTTTTACTGTAATATATTTCTCACATTCTTACATCGATTTGAAAAAGAGGGACATAGCACTGGAAACAAGAATTAGAACTAGAGCCAGATAGCTAGATTTTTGTTCTAGTTCTCCTAGACTTAAATGTTTGAGCTTAGGCCACTCATATAATCTAAGGGCAAACTAATCCCATTTAAGTTTCCTTCCAACTCTAGGACTCAATGGAAGGAGGAACTGTTTTCCTCAGTGTAAAATTTTACCAGGCTTCATCTATGGTACTTAAAAAAATAAATCTATCAGATATTGCTTTAAAATATTAATAGTTTCCCAACTTTATGATTCTTTGTTTTGAGATAGTTTTCAAAACTTTAATGTGCTTATGTACACAATTCCTTTGAAGTTTTAGAATGTCACCCCCTTTTACAAATATAAAAATAAAAAATAATTAACAAAGGGTATGACATTTTAAAAAACTTAACCATCTAAAGCAAAATTTCAATTAATCATGTCCAAATTCAGTGAAAAAAATTTAAGATTAAAATATTGAGGATACTGTTTCTCTTGAACTGTCTTGAAGAATACGAGGATTTTTACAACAACACATGTTCAAGTTGTGATTAAATTCATGTGGGTTAGGTGCTCACTCTGACAGCACATATACTAAATTCACTTGGGTTAGGAGTAAATTCGATCATTGTGATCTAAGAAGTGTTATTTTTTTAAGAAATTACAATATGCAAGAATCAAGTTTAATATATGAATATGTAATTTAGGTTTTTACAATTCTGAAACAGTCATCAAATCCTATGATATTAAATCTGTTTTTTAAAAAGTTATTCTTGTTCACATTTTAGAGAGCTGGCACAATTTAACTTCATGTGATACACTTGGCTATAAATTGGTGATGGGCATTAAGGAGGGAACCTACTGTGATGAGCACTGGGTGTTATATGTAAGTGATGAATCACTAAATTCTATTCCTGAAACCAATATTACATTGTATATTAATTAACCAGAATTAAAATAAAAACTTGAAAATTCAAAGAATTTAAAAAAAAATTTTAAAATAAACTTACTGTATTCAACGGCTTACAGGTAGAAAAGAGACTAATTAAAATAGGAAAGCAATCCCTATACCTTCTATTTCATCTGATAAGAATAAAAAAGGCAAGCATCTATTGCTATAATTATGCTATTATTAAATTGATAACTAAAACCTGAAGGTTATTACTGTTCATGAATGTTTTTATGCCTTTGTTATAAATGAAATCTTTGGAGAAATGATTCCCTGAAAGATTTTGTAATAGATTTTTAAATGTCTTTTTCATTCTAGTTAATTATATCTTTAAAATGTTCTTCAAATTAACTAATGGTAAGCAATGAATTTTAAAGAGATCTTTTCCAATGGCTTAATGAGGTATGGTGTGTGATGTGTACCAAAATAAAAAGTATGGAAGTTATGTTTTGAGTGTTAGTAATAACAACTTAAAATTGTATGTAGAATGTATCCAAAATGGCACAAAATTTAGATTATATCAGGGCACAGAATAGTTGGAATTTTATAATATTTTGGGTTTATAGCCTATACTTTCTGAACAAAAAGAGGAAGATTAAGGCTTTCTTCTCTGTATTGGCCCGTTGCAGAAAAATCAGAATTTAAAACAAACAAAAAGTTAACCAAAGTAACGAGGGTAGCAACACATACTTGTTGCCTGTATACAAGTTGCTTGTATGTACGTGTATACTCAGGTACAACACATACTTGTTTTCTCACTGGACTTGTGTGAGAATTGAATTAGAAAATGCTCCATAGAACCTATAAAGAAACGTGTATGTATATAATGGGAACATGTTGAGTAATTAGCACATCAGCAAAGCAACCTGCCAAAATCTTAAAATTTTATGTGTGTGTTTGTGGTTTGGAGGGAATATGTTTAGGGGGAGAAAAAGCAAGCTCCTAAGACAATTTGGGCAACTTATTTCTCAAACCCTAACTTCCTCATTTGTAAAATGGAGATAAAAATAACTCATTCTAAAGGCTTGCAAGTCATATAAAACAATGCTTAAGACAAGCACTATATCATTACACTATTTTTAATGTTTACTTACAACTTCAGCATCAATTTCCCTTTTACTCTCAATCTTTTCTTTCCTAACATCTGGCATTAAATTTTTTCCCTTACATTACACATTCATTGTCACCCTACAAGTTGCTATATTTATAAACTTCTGCATTCTCAATATCTCAGTAGTAAAAACAAAAGAGATAAATCCTTTTACCTGCTTTTAGTAATTTAAAAGTTTATTTAAAAGCTATTTTAGGCTAAAATGAACTATACCTTAATCTGGAATTAACTCAATATTCATCTAATGGGTTTAAAAAATGGAAATTTGATTCAAATCAAATTTAGGTTTTTAATCGCCACGACTGTGCCTTAATACCTGGTGAGATCAAATCTATGTGACTGACAATGAAAAATTATAAAAACATCAATCTTACTGTTATAACTAAAAGGTAGACTTCTAAAATATAATGTTGGTAAGAATTGACTGAAATTTTCTTAATGTTTTTATGGAAAAACATTATTACTGATATTAGTTAACTATATTTTTTATCTTGAATGATTTATTTATTTTTAGAGAGGGCAGTAAGGGCAGAGGGAGAGAATCTGTACATGACCACCTGCTGAGCCATGGAGGTCAGTGTGGGGCTTGATCTCAAGACCCTGAGATCATGACCTGAACTGAAACCAAGAGTTGGACATTTAACCAACTGAGCCACCCGAGCGTCCCTAGTTAACTGTATTTCGAATAAAAGGAGATAAGAGTTAACAATCTTTTTTCCCCTAGTCTGTGCCTTGTGTCAGTTTTTTTGTCATCAGAATGAAGGACTTTAAGACAAAACTAAAGACAGAATGAGCCTGAACAGGGAAAACAGAATGGCTGTCTTTCTTTTAAGTCTCCTGGAAGCTTCTTCCAGATTTACATATTTATAAAGTTTTCAAGAAACATTTACTTTGTGTGGGCATTCCCCACAAAAGCGTCAACACTGCCACTGGGACCATGTTTCATCAGCCAGAAGACTGCTGTGATTAAATGGAAACTGACACACTGTAGATGGCACAACTCAGTATCATCTGAGGGTCAATATCAGTATCATCTCCCAGAGTTATGCACTGCACACACTAGGTAGTGTGCATGTCACATGTATTAATAAAGGTGACATTTCAGGTAAATGTATACTTTATAAAATCATGTTGTTATTATTCCTGATTAATAATGAGAGACTACAAATGGAAACAACCTCTCAAACACACCTGTGGTTATTGGTCAAGAAGAGCTGTGACACTATTCCGCATACTATGTGTGAAACAAGAGGATACCATGAATAAGAGCATACAGACAACTAGGGAGTTAGAGGAAATGGATGTGGGGAAAGTATCCAAGAAGAATCAGACTTGCCCTGGATCTGTTCTCTAAGAGTGATGTTTTGGCCTGATCCTGCCTTAATCAGTATCTTTGCTCTCTTGTAATTGTCCCATTGCCATTGTACCCACCAATGAGAAATGTTTTACTTGTGTTTCTGAAAACTGTTCTATTTCATGTTCCTAGCAATCCCATGGAGGATCTATTAGTTAGGTCACTAAGTTAACGACTCACTGTTTTCACTCATCATTTCATAGCAAATTATGTAGATCAACAAAACAACTACATGAGAGTAAAAAAGCAGTAAAAAAACAAATAATACAGTAAGTGAATTAAGAATCATGGTATAAATGCTAATTCTAAGAAATGAAAAGAATAGATTATAATAAGCAACTTTAAAAGGAAAAACACCAATAAATTTTAAAATAAGCATTTTAATTCATCACTACATTACTTGTGAATCTTTCGTACACAATGTATATAAATAAAAATGCACATTTTCAATAATATGTGATAATATGTTAAAATACAACATGAACATATGAATAAAAATCCAACTGAAAATACAAACATTTATATTTTTGGTAAGCTAGATTAGATTTTGCTTTAAGAACTTTTTCTTGTAAATATGTATTTTGAGCACTTACATCTCCCTTATAATAGCAAGACTGAGGGATAGACACAATGTTTGTTATTTGTTTATGCCTCACTTACTGCAAAAAAGAGTTTGTGGCTGCTTATAGTGGTTATGAAATAAGACAGTATCAATTAGCAGAATGGAAGAAAGGAGTTAGAAAAAACAAAATGTGGACATACTTGACCATCTAAATCTAAATAAAATGTTACATAAAAGATGATAATTGGCTTCTTCTCCAGTTCAATAGAAAACAGAAATTAAAGAGACCTGTTTCACATCTAGCATGAAGGATTCAGATTGGATTCAAGAAATAGCTTTCTGATAGTGAATTTAAATAGTTCGCTATCTTATTTGAAGATTTTTAGAAACAGAATAGAATCTCATCTTTCTCTGCTGCTTGAGAATTGACCCTAGTTTAGGTGATGCTTTGATGACCTATCAAGGCCCCTCCCTTCTGTCCCTATAATTATCTAATTTTATGGAGAATATCACCTTGTCCATTCTTTAAAGAGCCAGTCTGGCAAAAAGAAGATAGCAGGAAAATGGAATTAAAAATGGTGACCTCCCGGGGCACCTGGGTGGCTCAGTGGGTTAAGCCTCTGCCTTCAGCTCAGGTCATGATCTCAGGGTCCTGGGATCGAGCCCCGCATCGGGCTCTCTGCTCAGCGGGGGCCTGCTTCTCCCTTCTCTCTGTCTGCCTCTCTGTCTACTTATGATCTCTCTCTCTCTGTCAAATAAATAAATAAAAAAAAAACATTAAAAAAATGGTGACCTCTGTTTCATTATTTGGCATACTGTTCTATGGGGAGTTATGATTATAATTTAATTAGATTTGGGATTATAAAATGATACAGTTTAAAACAGCTATAAGTACTATAAATGTTTTGTTTTAAATTTTCTCTTTACCACCAATGACCCAAATGAATTTAAGAATTATATAGGCAGATGAAAATTAGACTTAAACTATACTATACTTAATTTTGTAGAGGTGATTATCATTCTTCTATATTCTCTTTCTAATTTGTCTTTATTCACATTTTTACAAAGGCTGAAACCAGAGGTTAAGTTGCTAAACAATTATCTGAAACCAAATAGTTCCTGAGGGGAGCATATATGTTTTACCTGATTTGTTAGACACCCAAATAATTGCTTCTGAAGACACATGGCTTCTATTTCCTACCACAATAGTTAGTGGAATCTGCCACAGGTAACTGCAAAATAAAATAGAAGCTTTAAGAATAAAATTTGTTATAACAAATAAACAAACAACATTTGCTATGCACCTTCTGCATGATTTCCATTATTCTCTTTAGGGGAAAATTAAAAATTCCCCATTCACAAAAGTAAGCAGTAAGTCAAGAAGATGAATTAACGTCTACAATGCCACTAAGCAGACTTAGCCTGTAAGAGTTTTAATTTCAATATAAAAGGGAGACTTTAAACAACACAATTTATCTTGCAAAAAAAAATTTGCATTTTACATTATGGAATAAAAAGTAGCTAAAATCAATAAATCAGAGCCACACCAAATATTGATTAAAGTCTCAAAATAACTCCCTTCTCCTGTTTCTATGTTAAATTAATGCACATTTCAGTGGCTTCATGAATTTACATTTCAACATTATACTTATTTATTCACTTAACTATCCTAAAAAGCAGTAGTATCACATTTTACAGAAAAGTTAAAATAGCACACCTAAAGTTATTCAGCAAAGCAGGAATGAAAGGTAAAAGTAATCAGATTCCCCTAAAATTCAGATCAATATAAAGATCAGTGCGGAACACCTTTAATGCTGTTTTCTGAAATGAAATTTCCAAACTGGTGTGTGAAATCATCAACCAACATTCAGGGATCAGGCAGGAGTTTCAGCTATTAAGAGAAGCATTTTCTAGAATTTGACTTTTTGTAGGAAAAAATGGAAGTTTACACTTGTATATGAAGTAGTATCAATTTAATCTCAAATGGGTACCCAGAAATAAACTGGATGGTCTTACAATAAGTTCAATGACTACATTATGTTTCTTTCTATGAAGTACAGCCAAATTATGTTGACTTATCATTGCACTATTAACAGCAGGGGTAGCCAATAATATCCAGTATGTGAAAAATATTTTTGATTTTATGGAAGAGACACTGTGTGAGTTCTATAATTGGGAAAGTAAACAGAGAATTGATAGTTTTTCAGGAAACATACCAGGGATTATATAACCACAAATATAATGAATCTGCTTTGGGGGAATGGGAAGAGAGGACATTTCCTCTAAATCTGTTACATGAAATTTAATTACTTTATCATTTCATGTTTCTCATTCACAATAAACAAACGTCAGTAATAGTAACAAATCTAAGTGGAAGAGTGGAAGAAATTAATAATTTTACACCAATTGCCCTCTATGATATGTAAAGTTAAAATAATATGTTTAAAATTCTAAATTTTAAAAATATGCTGTATTTAATCAGCAAAATATTTTTGAGTGCCAACTACATGGAGACACTAAGCTCCGCCGCAGTGGAATCCACATGGTTGGTCAGGAAATCAATAACCTATATACCCAAACGTATCATTTTTAAAGTAGACATAAATGAACATAACCCATGTAAGCTCTTATTCAAAGCCCGCCCACCTCTTCACATAATACCAAGAATATGGAAAATATTTAATAATGGTATTACTATAAGGAAGACAAAGAGAATTGATATATATTTCTTTAACAGCTGTTCTCTAAAAATAATGACTCTTCTTTGATTAATTGAAAAAAATATTTAACAGACAGTAATGCTTAACTGTGTGTCTGACTCTTAAATTAAACCCTAAGCTCATATTTGTAAACCTAATATCTTGAAAAAACCTAGAAATGGAAGGCGTTCCAGAAACTGCTATTGAATTGGATCAAATGGGATGAGACCAAAGTAAAATGAAAGGAACCAAGTCAGTTAATCCGAGATTAACTTTATGAACTTAACTTTCTGGTCCACATCTTCCACATTGAGTTGGGTCAACTAAATTGTGAAGTCAAACACGTATCCCTTAAAGGGCAAGAAATATACAAAATTGAAGATGTTTAAAGGTCCTCCAGGATAAATGTGCCTTTTTAAAGCATGATTTTAAAATGTGAAATATTATGTGCCCCAATATAAATAAATATACTTTTGCATTTATTTAAGCTGTATTCTTTTAAATAGTGGAACCAGAAACAATGATTATATTTCTATGGTATGCTTCAGTATTAGAGTTTTAGCAAAAGTTTCTTAAGTACAAGAAAAAGAAATTCTTCTTAGAACCATGCAGCTGCTTACAGTCAACGCGACATCCCTATGGGAAACTTCCCGCATGGCAGACACTTAATCACACAGCTGTTCAGATGCAAAAGAGTTAACTATAAAGTACTGGGATCCAAACACTTGGGCATTTTGTAAAACTTTTGAAATAGTCTTCTGTATTCTTCCCAAGAATGTTTTTACTCTGTGTCTGTGTGTGTATATGTCTGCGTGATCGTGTATGCACACAACCAAAATGTTTATATTGTCACAAAAACAAAATAAAAATTACAAATTACCAAGCCTATCTAAAATTTGTATTCATTTCCGAATTGCTATACTATGAACCCTGTATGTTGTTTTTCATAACTTTCCAAACAAGACATTATCTGGTCTTTTCCCAAATTTCATTTTGAAGTTTCATTTCAAAAATCAAAGAAAGCTCTTTGCTTGATGGTTAGAACTTAAAAGGGTGGAAGACACTAAACATGGTTGAGTGAAGCGTGGTGTGCTATAAAGAAAATCTCAGACTGCAGTGGGTTATATTTGAAGAAAAACTAGAAAAAAGCATTTGTGAAATTAAATTGTGTCCCAGCTACCTAAGTTTAATTTTAGTCATCTCATTTTAAGCATAAAAAAAAAAAAAACAAACACAAATGCATTTCAATAGACTTCTAAGATATATTTTTCTTTAATATTCCCCAGAGTTATCGCTTTTTGTGTAGTTCATGTTTTTATAATAAAACAATGTTTATCCTAGTAATCATGTTAAGGTAGACAATAATAGGTACTTATTTTAGCTTGAGGGAAAAATCTTTTTTAAAAATGGTACCAATGTCAATGAAGCATTAACGTAGACACCATGAACTCTACAGAAATTCCTGTCATCAGGTCAATAACCAAAGGGAATTATGACTGTGGAGATAAACACAATTGTCTGTAGCACAGGACTCTGAGAAACCCCATAAGTAGATGAGGAAACATTGGTTGACATTGCAATGTATTAACTTCATAAAGAAAAAAGCTACAAAAAAAAAAAAAGAAGAAGAAGAAGAAGAAAAGAAAAAAGCTACATAAATTCTAGCCAGTATCTTACTCGCTTTTACATATCAATGAACTGTATGCAATTATTAGTTATGTAGCAGTCTTTTATACTATAATACAGTTAGTCCATATGAAAAATATAATTACTATATACATTAAAAATGTTCTGGGCATATTGCTGTGGTATTCTGGTATCCTTTACAAAATTCAGGACAAAGAATTGATGAGACTGGCTCAGAAAATATCCACAGCTCATGGGATTTCTGGTACCGGTGGGCACTGTCTCACTGCACAACAGTTTGCACTGTACAACAAAGACTTATGAAGGTTATGTAAAAAGGACGGATAGAATTGATATTGAAACTCTGACCACAATCTTAGAGTGAATAAAATGGATCAATAAGACACAAGTGAATACTAAATTTTTAACTGCAAGCTCAATTATTCCAAAATAGATAGAAAATAATTTTCGAGCTTAAAGGGACTCCACCCCTTATCTTACTCTTAATATTTTATACACCAGGTTCTTGGGGTTCAACGTTATCCATATGATTTTACAACTGTAACGAAAGCAAAGCTCTATTCATGTTACATATACTTACGCAGCCTGGGAGAAATTCTGCCTTTAAAAGAGTCAGAATCACAGCTCATACATCTGATGCATGTTACAGGCTGACAGCATATTTTTGTTCAAAATTTGTTCTGGCATTTGCGGGTCCTTTATGTTTTTCTGCATCAGTGATGTTTGTGTCAAACTGATCATTCTCAAAGGCATGGCCTAAAACTCTCTAACTTTGCCACAGTCAAGTAGTTTTTATGTACTTCCTGGCAAGGCTGGGGTTGATGCCTAAGCAGGTTTAGCCTGGGGCCAGAGGGTGGAGGATGAGAAGCCGCGTTTGGCAGCTCTGTAGAATCCCAGGCTGGGTAAAAGGAAGCACTGACGGAGTTAGACCCTGATGGTGCGGCAGGGTAATCCCACTTTGCAAGGGCAGTTTATTGAAGGCCCACGTATATATTGACCTGGAGATTTAAGTCCGTGCTTTCCCCAATAACATTCCAAATTTAGTCACCAGAAAACATTCAGGAATTTCTCAGTCACTTCTACCTTATAGCCCACCTTGGAGCTAGCCTACTTGGGAATGATTTCCATCCCTCTCAGAGATTAAAACAAGAATAAACAAAAACAATTCATGCTTCACACCTCTGGGTAATGTAATGGGAGACAGCATGTCCAATCTAATCCAAACACCCCACTTTATTTATTAATTTTAAATTCCATTCCTTCTGTCCCCTCCCACCTCCAACCTTTTCTTAGGGCACCTTTTGAAAAATGAAATGAACTGATTTAAATTCCATTATCTTTCTTTGGCTCAGCCTTCAGTAACCCACCATACTAAGAAAACGTGAAGTAGAAAAGAAACACTATATGCTGTTTTCAGTAATTAAATAAGAGTTTCAAAAGAAAGTTTAACAACAAATAAAAATTCTATGTATGTTGTCTGTTCAGTGGTTTTACACATGGAATGAGGGAGGAGAACATATTTTGATGCCAAGTAACATTGATACTCAGACCATTTAAAAATGGTTCTACTTTGAGTTCCTTTGGCTCAGATACTAGTCTAGTTGTGGTTTTTGTTTGTTTTAATTAGTCTTTCTGGATTGCTAGTTTCTATTCTTATCTATTTTATAAATCGCAGTTTACTCAATTCCATTTAATTGACTTCATTGCATCTTAACTTTCTTGAATTTTATTCAACAAACATTCACAGGGAAAAGTAAAAAAATCACATATTTTTCTAAATCACCATGATAATTTAAACTCTGCTTAAACAAAATAACTGGTGTGTTGTCACTTTGATGGTTAAAATATCTGGAAATGGGAGTAAAAGAGGAATCAAAATGAAAACACCATATGTAAATAAAGAAATGAAAACCATATTTCACTTACATTTTATAATTGGACTAGCGATCCTTTTTAAAATGCTAAAAACACAAAGTGAAACCTAAGAATATAAGCAATTGTTTTTTCATGTAAAAGAGTGCTGTACCTGTTATTTTGAAGTTCGAGTGCTTTAGTTTTAGCACTGATGTCATAAATAAAATGTTGTTGGGTAATTATTATTCTATTTTCTGCTGTTGAATTTCCCAAGATTGTGATAACAGGATAACCCATCTGGAGTGTCCACTGATCCATTACTTCTTGTATATTTACAAATTTTCCATTCCGTTTTAAAGCCTTTGTAACCCAAATTGTATAAATTAGTTTCATAAACATGAACTATAAACATAATTAACATTAAGCCATTTTTATTTTTACCTTTATGATTTACTTAAGGATGAAAACATGTAAAATCAGTGAAGCTAATATAACGTGTTAGTAAAATTAATCTCATTGCCTTAAGTTAAGTTTCATGCATATATAGAGAAAGGAAAGACTTATAAGCATTAAAGTTTTTACTTAATGGAAGATAAAATATAGTTGATTGTTAAAACTATGCCTAGTACCAAGTTTAAATATTTGTTATTCGCCTATAGAAAAAACTACTTTAACTTCAATATTTCTCTCAAACATGAATATCTGACACCATATGAATGTTGTATTTCAGAAGTATTGCCTTGTTTGAGAGGAGGCAAGGTACTTTATTACTGCCATTTGTACTTTAAGTAATTTTAAACCCCATTACTTTTATAATACATCAAAAATAAAATGATAAAGCAATATGAGAAAATATAAAAAGGAAAAACAACTGTCAGTCTCAATAAAAGTTAAACGAATGGTTTATAAACTCAATTCAAATATTCAAGAAGAGGTTTTGCTATTCGAGCTTCCTATACTTTACCTCTGACAGTGTATTCCAGAGATCGTTTCTGGCTGCATTGCCGTACTTATGAATGGTTAAATAATCCTACAAAGAATATAAAATTAAAATTACAATTCAGAGGCTAAGCAATTTCCAGTAAACACATATATTTCTCAATTCAATTAATAATTTCTATTTGTTAGAATTACATTACTACGAAGACAAGGAGAAGGATGTGGAAGAAGACGAAAAATCTCATTTTACAATATCCTGAAGAACTTTAACTGTAACATATTTCTTAACTGATCAAACAATACTGGTCTCTTAAAAAATATTTTCGTAGCCATAATCACTTGCTATGGATTTCCAGCGTCAAAGACCTTCCTCTAATTTAACAAACCAACCTCAGGCAACTGTAAAGAAACAACCTCTGCAATGAAACATTTAGGAGAAACTTCCCCATCAGACTTTCCTGTTGAAATGTTGAAAAAAACAAATTCTGTTTTATGGAAAAGTAAAAACAACAACAGAGACCCAATTGATATATGCCAAAATGAAGAGGAATCGCTTTGCTGAAAGAGTGATGACTATATCCACAAGCTGTCCAGTTCCCTAGTCTTTCTGCAAGGGACAGGCTGCCTAATACAAAAAAGGACACATACTTATTTCCATGAGCTTGAAACACATATTAATACTTAATAAGGAAAAGTTAATCCTAAATTTATTTAATATTTTTGAGGGTAGGATTTTTCGTTTCCCAGTTTCCACCATTAGTAATTAAACCTACACACTTTCTATCTACCTATGCCTGCTCCCTTCTATGAAGCATGGTCTGTGTCACTGTGGATACGTGATTTGGTTACGGCCAGTCGGTGTTATTCTTTTTCCACATCAAAGTGGAAAAAGTAATAGGAAATAGTGTTTTATGTTATAAAACAGAGAGTCTTCTCAATTTGAAATTCCTTCATCTCTACAACATGTAGGTAGTAAACAAAATCCTAATTTACATCACAGTACTGAAAATGAAAAAAAAAAATGCTGACTCTCTTCAGTACTTTGTGTAGAGTTAGAATACTTTGGGGATAATTAAACTTGGGGAAGACTTTTTTTGAAATACAAATTGTAGCACCTGTGACAGATTCAGCTTCGTTGGCAACTCACAGCGCAGAAAATGGCAACTCCCACCTAATCAGACTCTAAAGATGCAATGCCCAACACTAACTTAGCAACCACAAATTCATCATCGTCATCAGGGATTATGAATAACTTTGTTCAAAAAATATAACCCCAAATAATCAATCTGAACTCCACTTTTGGTTTTGAATATGCCATATGAGTCATTTTCCATTAGAACTTAGAGACCAGGATTAAAATAAATTATTTCAGATTTAACTATCAGCATTATCTTTCATGCTTTTTCAGCACCTAAATGAATAAATCTGGGAACAATAGGAATTATGAAACACAAATTTGGGTTTTATTTTAGTACGTGATTTTTTAAAAAGTATCAACATTAGAACTATTTATTTATTGGGTTTGGCTTATGGATATGCTGCTAGGATAATCCTAAAGAGGGAACAAAGGAATACCCCACGGACTTTGAAAGGTCCAATACCTAACTACAGGATTCTCTTCACAGACAGATCATAAAAATCCAACTGTTCATGATATGAGTTGACTTTGGCCCAATATTGATCGTCAACTCGAACTCTTGGTTCCCTCCCCAATTCAGAATAAAGTTCAAATTTACATTTCAAGCAAGCTGAAACGGCAGTCATCCAGGCTTAGGAAGCAGTTCCAACTTGCTTGCCTCGGAACTCAGGGCAAAAAGCATCTTCTTGGATTCCCAGCAGTCCCAATTTTCGGGTGTTACTGGAATTTACATAAGTTAACTCTTGTTTTTCAAAAACTGAGAAAACCCCAAGTGTTCTCCTTAGTTATCTTAGCCTTCCTCTTGCATGAAAATAGTCATATTTTAAGTTAAAGAAATTGTGTTTTGTCTTTGCTGCATTACAAAGAAACTTACAGAATGGTAAATGTGGTTTTTCTGATATTCAATCATTTATTCATTCTTTCCACAAAATGTACGGTGTACTTTGCATGTGCTGGTAGCTTTCACATGCTGCGGGAACAGTTGGGGGAGACTAGGTTACTGAGAACAGTGACAGACACTGAGATGGGATTTGTGGAGGACGGGTTCTGGGACTGAAACTGTAGAAATCTTGGTACAAAAACTACTTGACAAGATGAATTTAAACATTTGCTATGTAATTAAATAAGAAGATTTTAAATTCCTTTTAAGCCTATAAGCCGATGAATATGAAAATGGCTGGAGTTATGAATCTGAAATGTAAATTTATGTTTATATGTATGTGTATGAAAGTCAATCAGCAGTAGATTTGACATTATGATACAAAGTAGGAGAATTTTTTAATATTAACCATACAAAGAATTTCAGAAACAGAAGAGTTGTTGAAAAGGAAAAAAAAAAAAAATAGACGACCACGAGAATATTCTTAAGGGATCAAACCAACATTATAAACTGATTAAAAGTTAAAGGCCTATTTAGCCAAAGTATATTCTCATACCTAAAGGATAAGAATGGGAATCTGACTGCCTTTGTCCAAATCTGCACCCCAATGCTCTCTAGCTACGTGATTTTGGCAAGTTGCTTAATCTCTTTAGGTATGAGTTATGCTAAGGAATGAATGATTTTTTCATAGAATTAGGTTAAGGAATAAACGATTTAATATCTGTACAGTATTAGAAGAGCAAAAAGTGTCTAGTACACAGTAAGTATTCAACAGACATCAGTTGTTATAGGCTTTTTAATCACTTAGGCTACCTGTTAGAGTAACAGAAGGGAAAGCATCACTGAGGATAATAACCAAAGAACATAACACATGAAAACAATATCTGCCTCCTTTGTAGCATTGTGTGAGTCGCTTTCTTTTATTCCATTCAATCCCAGGACATTTATGAGATAGGTATCATCATCATCATCTAATAAATCAGAACACTAGAACTCAGAGACTCCAGCCCATGTCAAAACCCCATACCTGTGCACACCACTGCCGACCCAAATCCAATGTCTGCTAGATGCCCCACAGACAACTAAGAGCTGAACTCACTGTCCTCCCCAACATTAGCTCCTTTTGGCAGTCCTTCCCCAGCGATGGCCTTCCAAACATCTCAACCAAGGAGGCTTCTTGGGTGCCTCTCTTTCCCTTTCTACCACATTCAAGTTAAAGCTCTACATTGGAAATCTTCCCTCCAGGTTCCCCTTTCCCTCCACCTGTCTGACAGCCTCTCTAGATGACTAAGACCACCACTGCTCTGTCCCTTTCAGATGGTCTCTCTCTTGTGCAGCCAGAAGAGCTTTCATCAGATGCACACATGGATCCCTGCTGCGCTCAGAAGACAGTCCGAACACCCTAAAGGAACGGTCCCTCTGTATTTCTGCCAGCCCGACTGTCACTTTGTTGCTCCGCTCTCTGCCCATGCCTGGGCATACTCTTTCCTTCTAGTCCCCTGCACAAGCCCTTCTCTACATATGCTCTACTTCAAGCCCATTCAAGCTCCACGACTCGGGCTTGATAAATTCTTCCCAGGGATTCTTTCTTGGTCATTCCCACACCTTCCTGAGTTACATACCCCTCTCATATTCTCACACGTTGCACCATCTGAGAGCATCTATCGCACTATGTTATAATTGCTTGTTCATCACTTTGACTGCCCACATACTCTGTAAACTCCATGGGAGTAAAGCCCCTGTTACTCCTCTTGACCACTGTTTGGCTGGCATCTATGTGCCCAGCCTGGTACACAGCAAATGCTGAATATATTTGTGTGATTTTTGACTATCCTTATTCAACATGCCTTTCTGTTAACCACTGACAGTGCTGTTAAAAGACGTTTCTCATATCCATCAGATTCCTCCAAAATGTCATATTTAAACACTAGCACAGGACACAATTTCTTATTTCAGTGCATATATGCCAGCTCTATAACTTGCATTGATATATGCAATTGCATGTGATGTCATTGAAAGACTGAACTCTTGGGTAGGAGGCCATTTTTATTTTACTTTCTTGGCTAACAAGTGACATGATCCACAATTTTTCATGTACAAAAGCCAATGGGACTAATAAGCTAATAAGTAAACAGGAGAAAAGGAAAAAATGATCTGAGGCAGTAAAGCACTATTATCTTTTAACATGTTTATATGGAATAATTATGCTCTCCTACTAATGGGTCCCTTAGCATGTTAAAAAAGAGGACTAACTGCACAAAGGATTTATTCCTCAGGACGCAGAAGGACAGTTTAATAAAATCCAAAGATATATGGACTGTTTTATTTGTGTTTAGCTGCAAATTATAAAAAATCCACCCTAGAATGACCTTTATAATGACAAGATTTATTCTTTCCTATTATAAGAAGGTAAGACAGCCGCAATTTTTTTCTCCAGAAATTGTTTGGCCTTGCCTTTCCTTGTGTTTTGTCTCCCTGCTTGGGTTTGAGGCTGGATGGCACAAGCAATCCCAGCCATCACATTCAGACAGGACATTGCACAGAGGAAAGAGACAGAATTTCTTTCTGAGAAACTTCCTCTCAGTTGCTGCATCAAACTCTCCGCGTTTCCCACTTGTCAGAATTGTATCACAGGCTCCAGCTGAAATCTGCTGATGAAGCTCTTAGGGGGTATTGTTTTGGGACAGCTCAAGGCAGGCTCGATGCTGTGTTTTCTCCAATGACATAAGAGAGGCAAGTCTGGGCTTCAGTAACACTGGCAAGTAGGAGCCCTTCTACTCGTAAGACTAGCCTGGGAAATGCCAGGTAAATCCAGGCATTGATTTTTCTGACTATGTGACAAGAAGGCTGAAGCAGGGATTTGAAATATTGTTCTTTTCTATTAAGAATAATTGTACCTCAAAAAATGTGTAGTGAGCATTTGTCATTCTTTTGGCTTTCCAGCATTTAAACACCACGTTTATATGGGGACAATAACTCACCATGGAATCCTGCAGAAAGGTGAGGGCTCTGCCTCCCACTTTCAATGGAAGGGACAAAATAGTAAATCCCTCCTTCTCCCCTTTCCCTGACA